AGGCCTCCTCCTGTCCCCACAGCTCCAAGAGGGCCTTGACCTCTGGACCAGACCCGGAGGGTGTGCGCCTTTTGGTGCCCCTGGGTGGGTCCTGTGACCCCCTGGGGCTGCTCCTGATGAGGGAGGTTGCGGGGAGCCTCAGGGGCAGACATGCCTCGTCCTGGCTGTGGCAGGGAGAGCCGCATGGTGAGGCACTGCTCCCTGGGGTCAGCTTCCTGCCACGAGGCTTGTCCAGGGGGGTCTGCACTTTTAATGAGGGGCCAGCAGACAGGAGCTATAGAGCTGTCATGAGTTGTCTGGAGCATCCACCAGAGCACGTGTGCTTTTTCCTGGAGGCCAGTTCTTGTGCAAAAACCCCCTCCTGCCCATCCACACATGCCTTTTTGCGTAAGAGCTCTTGCGCAAAAAGGCTTATTCCTCATAGAAAGAGGAATAACTCTTGCACAAAAAGCCCCGTCTTCTGACGATCTACTGTATTTTTTCTCGTGCAAAGACGCGCTTGTATTGTGGACGCTCCGTGAGTTTTTGCAGTATAGACATAGCCTTAGGGATCAGTTTTCAAGGTTGCCTATTCACAGCCTAATTCTGCCTTCACGTCCACTCATAATTCCCACTGATTTCCAGGGGTGTTGCATGCACATATCCAAAGGCATACTTTGTGAGAAGAGAGATTTGAAGCACAGCAAAAGAAATATGCTACAAATGATTTGTTAAATGCAGTGCACAAAGGAAATACAATAGTATGCCAATGACCATACAGCATAAACCATTTACAGTACAATCTTACCCCTTTGAATTACATTCAGCGAAGTCTAAAACTTACAGTGTACAGGAAGCTCAAGAGCAGCAGTAAGGGGCAAGGAGACCCAATAACAGGATACTCTAGTTACTATCTTCAGAAAAATATAGGTTCAACCTGAGCTCAAATCACAAAGCTAAAAACTCCCTAAAGGTTTCAAATTGAGAATTATTTTGTTGAAGATATAGCTAGTATTAGCTGACTGCAGCAGGAACTTATTTTGTATCCACTGTGCAAGATCCTCATAAGACAAGGTTACAGATCTGCAGTTTCATTTAGAGTTTTCCTCTTTAAATTAAAAAGCTGGCAGGGGCTTATGCTGGTGTTCCAAGTTTAAATAATAAAACAACTTTAAGTCTACATATCTGCATCTAGGAGGACATGCACCACACCAGAACAATATTTGCTGCACTTACCAAGCAAAGGTACTTTGTTCTGCAGCAGCGCACTTACCAAGCAAAGGTACTTTGTTCTGCAGCAGCGCACTTACCAAGCAAAGGTACTTTGTTCTGCAGCAGCGCACTTACCAAGCAAAGGTACTTTGTTCTGCAGCAGCGCACTTACCAAGCAAAGGTACTTTGTTCTGCAGCAGCGCACTTACCAAGCAAAGGTACTTTGTTCTGCAGCAGCGCACTTACCAAGCAAAGGTACTTTGTTCTGCAGCAGCGCACTTACCAAGCAAAGGTACTTTGTTCTGCAGCAGCGCACTTACCAAGCAAAGGTACTTTGTTCTGCAGCAGCGCACTTACCAAGCAAAGGTACTTTGTTCTGCAGCAGCGCACTTACCAAGCAAAGGTACTTTGTTCTGCAGCAGCGCACTTACCAAGCAAAGGTACTTTGTTCTGCAGCAGCGCACTTACCAAGCAAAGGTACTTTGTTCTGCAGCAGCGCACTTACCAAGCAAAGGTACTTTGTTCTGCAGCAGCTCACAATAACTTGTAGTAAGAATTCCAACAGGATTGCTTGGTGCAAACCGTCCTTCTTTTACTAAACGTTCACATGTTCGCATTAGAGTCCCTGAGAACTGAGAAGGATCAACCCCATAGTCTCTCCAGCCACCTACACCATCTGCTACCCCTAAAAAGAGAAAAAAAACCAACTTAACATAAATGTTTCAAATGCTTTGATATGCTAGAACGAATTGAATATATGTAGAAAGTCCAACATCTAAAACAGACGCCACAGTTTGCTAGTCCTATTTCTGTATTAAACATTTTCCCCAAATGGTTATTTACAGTTTCATTATGACTGGAGAACAGCTACAGCATGGAGCTATATGGTTAGAAACCTGAGAATTTTTGGTTTTAAAGAAACCACACACTATGGAAAGCATACATATGTAGGTGAACTTCAAACGTTAGCTGTAGGGTAAAGATCCAGGTAATCTGTCAGTTAGTAAAACAGATTAAAGTCTAAAGCTAAATAACTAGAGTGATGTTCTGTGAATAGACTGACTTTGCGGTAAGAAAGATTTATTGGAGAATTAAGTAGCTTTTCAGGGATACAGACCACACTTTCTGATACAGGCACACAGAAGGAGGAATGGAAGTGTTGGAGAAGAAGCATATAGAATAATTTAAATAGAACAGAAATGAAGATAAAGTAGAGGAACTCCCCCCCCCCATCTAACATCTCCTGACAGGTATTCTTTTAGTGCTCATTCACAGTGATGTGGTCCTTTTCCTGTGAGTGGTACCAATTTCTGCAGAAAGTAGAACTTCCATTAAAAAAAAGTGTTTGAAGATCAATGCAATTTTGTGTTCTACATCAGCAGAAAGAACACTCTAGAGCCTCTGTGGCTGCTTACAACTTCAACCAAGCAAGAGTTTAAGTGGACTCGAGCTCACTGTAGCCATTCAGAACAGCACTGACAGCAGTAAATCAGATCTGTTTCACTCTGATAAAGCTTGGAGCGGCAACTAAGACAAGTGCTAAAATTATGCACACTGGAGCAGGAGGCTGGAGATGGGTGGATTAGTAGAGTCCCTCACCACTAGCAGCAGTCTGGAGTGTGAAGGTGGGCAAGAGAGAAAGTTCCTTTTCTCTCACAGTAGTAAGAGGATTTTTGTTTTTACAGAAGTAGGGGAAGGAAAATTCAAGGCACCTTTAAGCCAGAGGCTACAAGAGATGAACCTCTGACCCCACCCTCCTAGCTTTTCCCAAAAGTTCCTGGGCGGTGCAGTCCCGGACAGTGCCACACTTCTATCCTTTTCTGTATTAACTTTGACTGGTTAGGTTTAGTCCTTTGGTTACTAGGTGGATAGTAAATTTACACATGGCAAAAGGGGTGCATGGATGGTGGCAGCAGGGGAGGTATGGACCAAAAGTAGTGTAGGGAGATGTTTATTTTGCAAGATAAATGGTAGGGAAAATGTAAGGGAGCACTCATGGCAAGGAAACAAAGGTAACGGGGTGAGGGAGATAGAACAAGGGAGACTAACATAAAAACTAAACCTAATGAACAATGTCACAACCAATATAGCACACAATTCATTTACTCCTTTAAATTCCCATCTGAGGTTACCAGCCACCCTGCAAGTGCAAAAATGTTTTAAGACTTGTTTAAAAAAAAAAATGACTGGGCAGTAAAAGATTAAGATAAATTACAATAAAAAAAGAACAAGTCAGTTCCATCATTAGTACAAAAGAAAGCTGAACTGCAATAGTATACAAAATATGACTGGCTCACCTGATCACACAGTAATGTTAAAGCTTCTAAATTACAGCAGTGTGGTGGCTTGGTAACAGCTAATGCTAATGTGCTGTCTGAAATATGTTTACAGTTTTCAGAGTCTGTTCTTAATGCTAACACTACTGCATTCAAATATTGCCTAAAAAGGGACACATTAAGGTAGATTGCAGATACCCAGTAAGAAATAATCCCATTTGAAAATGTTGCATGATTTAATTCGGTTAAGGATCTGTCTGATCATCAATCATTGTGCCCCCCCCCCCCCCCCAAAAAAAGTCACAGAATCTTAGAACTCACCAGAGCCATTTTTGCTACTGCTTCAGCTAGGGAGATTGGTTTAAATTAACCAGTAAGAAAGGAAATACTAAATCAAAATTATTGAACAGATTAAGTGCTTTAACTGTCTCATGTTCGTTCAAACTTAATTTTCAACTAAAATATTAAATTTACATCCAACACAAAAGCTTTCAATACTGTCTTCATTTATGGCAGGGGTGGGGAACCTTTTTTGGGTCAGGGGCCACTGACCCACAGAAAAATCAGTTGGGGGACACACAAGCAAAGAGCAAAAAACCCCTCCAATTCCTCCCCCCAACTGAAACACCTCACTCCCCTGGTGCCTGGGGGGGGGGGGGGGGGGGGG